GATAGAGATAGAGATAGAGATAGAGATAGACATCAACACAAGAGACACATCATCTCCTTGGTTCCTGCATGCTGGGGAACCTGAATGAGGTACGTGCCCTTGACCAGGAATCAAACCCGTGACCCTTCAGTCCAAAGGCCGGCCTCTAACCACTGAGTCAATCCAGCCAGGGTGACAAAGCTGTGCTTTTAAGTAACCAGTGTAGCAGCCTGGGAAAAGGGGAAACCATGACTTACAGCATCCAGATTACAACACACCCAACCCAAAACTTCCCTGACGCTTCCGCCAAGCAAAAAGTCCAAGGGCACCAGGAGACATCCAACCAGGAGATACTGTTGAGAAGGTTTTTATCTGTCTGAGGACATGTCAGCACCCTAGGTGAAAAGCTGCAGCACAGCAGACTAACCTGTGGCCTCCCAGCCCCAGGGCAGCTGCGTTTGTACAAAGGGGTGGAAGGAATGTTTGAGGACACCAGCAAACCCACGTCCAGCAAAGAAATCCCCTCCCTCTCCACCGGCTGACTCACAAGGCTGACCAGCCTGAAGCTTCCTCAGAACTGGTTCCCTGATAGGGAATTAGACCCACATGAGGTCCTGACCAGCACCCTGTGAGCAGACTTGGATCGGAGGACCAAGCCCCCAAATGAGAGAGAGCCCAGGCTGTGCCCTTGGAACAGAGCCCAGAGTGAAGCCTCTTTTTAGGACAATAACATCAGGTGAAACGCTTAAGTGTCGTAAATGGGGAATGTTGCATCCCCGGGCAATCTCCCGTTCCCAGACACTAGCCGGGGGTGCTCAGAGCAGATGGGTAAGGGAATCAGATGGGCAAGGGCCTTGAGAATACATGCAGCCAGCCCTGCCTTCAAGCATGAAATAATCTCATAGGATGCTTTTTTCCCTCCACAGCATTCAAAGACAAGCTCCTGGGTCTCCCTGGGTAGCACGTTTCCCAGCTGTGTCACCAAAAAGATGCACTTGACAGAGAATTAATACAACTTCTGCCCATGCAATGGCATATTAAACCAAATCAATGAAAAGTAATCAGCCAAATGGATCCATTCTCATTTTCAACAGGCTACCATTGTGAAATTGAAATTTGAGGCCTTGAGATCATGAGCAGTAGTGACCGGACACCTTAACTGAGGAGCCCCAGTCACACGCTGAGGCTGTGCCCGCCTTCCATCCTCCGGGCAGGCACACTCACCTGGACAAGGTGTGCACAGGACAGAGGCAGCGGCCGGGAGGAGCCCAGAGGCAGAGAACCTGGGCACTCAGAAAATTTCCCGAACACCTCCCTCCCCACCCCCATCCCACCAAAGAAACCCACTCACAAAAGATTGTGTTCTCACTAGCTTTCTGCCTTGTTTTCCTTCCCTTTTTTTTTAATATATATTTTTATTGATTTCAGAGAGGAAGGGAGAGGGAGAGATAGGAATCATTGATCAGCTGCCTCCTGCACTCCCCGTACTGGGGATTGAGCCTGCAACCCAGGCTTGTGCCCTGAGTGGGAATCGAACCGTGACCTCCTGGTTCATAGGTCTATGTTCAATCACTGAGCCACGTCGGCCAGGCTCACCTTGCTTTCTGTTATGGGCTGATGCTGGTGTTCCCCCAGAATCCATATGCTGAAGCCCTGGCCCCCAGTGTGTTGGTGTTTGGAGGTGGGGCCTTTGGGAGGCCATGAGGGAAGGTCCTATGATAGCAGTAGTGCCTTTATAAGAAAGAGACCAGAGCTCGCTCTGTGTGCCAGTGAGGACACGTTGAGAAGGAGGCTGTGCCTGGAAGAGAGCCTTGAACTGGAACAGAACGGGCTGGCACCCAGCCTCCAGGACGGTGAGAAATAAACGTCTGCTGTTT